TATGCATGATCGTGCACATGCGGTAATTGCTTTAAATAGTTAAATCGTTCGGCTTACTGGGAAGCTTCTTGGTTCCACGATTTTTATCAATATGAGAAAGCGTGAGCGATGCCGAAGCGACCTTGCTGCTGTGGATGATTTGTTAGGTAAATGATAAATGGGTTTTCTGTCATTTACTTGTGCGGTTATCAGAGGCAAAATCGTTACCAAATTTCACTTTCTGTGAAGGAAGAAGCACTCAGAAACAGCTCCAACTGTATCGCTTTCCTGGCAGCATCCACGCAGTTACAAGGCTGTCGATGGCGCTCTCTTTCGAAGGCTGTTTAAGAAGCAACTTAAGCGTGATATTTGTTCCCAGTATGCTCCAGTAGCATTTTTCTGTCGTCGAAGAATTGATTTTCTCATTATCTGCTTATGGGCTCTTGGTTCATTTATTTATTTTTTCTTTTCAGAATAGACCAGTGTTTGGAAAGCTCCGTTATATGTGTGCGGAAGGCATACAACGAAAATTCCGAAAGCACATTGATGAGTACGTCAGAAAAAATTACGAACGTGCTGGTCGTGAATTAATGCCGAGCAATTTATTATCAAAAGAGAAGAAAGATGAAGTTGGGGAAGCTTTGGGACCTAAGGCAAAAAGAGCTCGAAAAAGTGCACCACGCAGAGGTTTAAAAACATAAATTAGACTTCAAATGAAGGTTCAGTGTATTTCTCAATCTTAAATTAATTTTATTCTTACATTTAAACGTTTTTTTTCACGCGTTACTGCCAGAAATACCTAACCCGGAGCACCGATCTTGTGTTAACGACTTTACTTGAATACTCTCACCCGTATCTATGCCAGGTCCTTTGGTCCTGAGCTGCACATCTGCAATTAGGATCTACCGCCTATTTGATTTGTTAGCTCCGATTCTTGTATGCCATTATTAATAATGCAGGAACTTAAGAATAATAGAATTTTCTTGAAATTTTTCTTGGAATCTCGGAGAACTCTTGCTTTTTTGATTTTGTGTAATTTATATTGTCATTTCTTGATTTGTAATGAAATACGAACCTTGTGTTTTTTCTTCTTGGATCTGAGTGACGATAGCGGGAAAAGGGGAAAGAAGGTTGAAACACTGGATAAAAGTGGGTACTTTTTATCCTTTTTAATAATTTTTGGGCTCATCGGGGAGTTTAGCTGTCCATGTAAAACAAGCAAACTACTGTCGGAGATACGTTGGAAATATGGATTTAATAGTAAAGTGATAAGAGGGTTTGTTATTTTGAACACGAATCTGCTAAGAAATTTGCGGTTTACTGAATATTTGCATATTTTTGAAAAGTACACTTTTAAAACTTTGTAGATTGCTTTTTATGAACTTTTATTTTGACAAAGCAAATCGACTGTGCACTTGTAAACGTCAAAAAAGAGCCAAGGCATGTATGCACAAAGTGCACGGCATGCAAATAACGGAGGAAAAACATAGGGATTCCACTTGACTACTTATAAGCATTCACATAATTACGCCTATCTCGTATCATAGCTTTGCTGTAAAAGATCTCAATTTTTCGTGTTTTGCTGTTTGTTGGAGTGTGAAGAAGGAAGCCTTTTGTATCTTTTTTCAAATGTTATTGCCGCTGCTACTTTTTAAGTTTAAAAAAAAAATTTAAAGTTTTAAAAATTTTTTAAAGATTATCCCGTATTTTCGGTTGCTTTTTAAGAGTTTTTTTTTTTTTTTTTTTTCAAAA